AAAGGAAAAAATGGTTATCACAAAATGAGGAACCAATAACACTACCAAAACCAGGACTCAATCTGCAAAAAAAGTACTTGCTTTGTGTCTGGTGGAATATAAAAAGTACTGTGCATTATTAGCTAATGAACATAGAAGAACCATCACTGAAGATCTCTTGACAGTAACTATGACTTTTTGGGAAAGACAGCGGAGTTGCTTTCTCCACAGTTGTCTTTGGTATATGTTATTCTGCCTTCACAATTGAATACATGGTAGATGATATCTTTTGTGCATATACATGTGTGTGTGGATATGATTACTAGTAGTAGTTTTATGTTGTAGTTTATATAGTGTTTATATTAAGAAACGCAATATAAATAGTAAATAAATAACCAAAGACTTATTGCCTCAACTCTGATTTTGGTAAACAAAGTGCTTATATTAAGAAACACAATATTATTAGGTTGTCCCAAAAGTTCGTAAACACTTGCGAAAAATTGAATTTTTATGCAATTTTTAATTGTTTTTTTACTTTATTGTTAATTTTGATAATTTTGAAAAACATTTATTTCATTAAAATTTTTATTTAATTGTTTTTTGCGTTTATATTGTTATAGTGATCTTCATCTTCGTATTCCAGATGGCAATTGATAAAATTGAGCTGCAAGTTTTGATTCGTTATTGCTGGAAGCGAGCTCTTTTAACCAGAGAAGCTGCAGAAGAGATTTGTGTTGTCGAAGGTGAAGGAACAATTGCATATGCGGGGATCTCAAAGTGGTATAAGCGTTTCAATTCTGGCGACATGAGTCTTGAAGATAAGCCTCGTTCGGGATGGCCGTTAAAGTTGGATGATGGAGACTTGCAAACCAGGTTGGACATTGCACCTTCATCGAGCACTCGAGAATTGGCTGATGAGCTTGGAGTTGGCAAATCGACAATTCACCGACACTTGTAGCAACTTGATTTTGTTCACAAAAAGCCACGCCAAGATCCGCATGAACTCACCGGAGCACAAGCCAACAGACGAGTTGAAATTTGCTGTCAATTGCTCAGCAACCCATTGGACGAGCGTTTTTGGAAGTGCATTGTGACATCGAACGAGAAATGGGTCTATCTGGTCCAGCACAGTTGAGACAAGTGATGGGTTCAGAAAGGGCAAGAGACACCGTCGGTTCTAAAACAAGATCAATTCGGCAAGAAAGTCATGTTGTGCGTTTGGTGGAATCGTGCATTCTGAGTTGGTTCCGAATGGTCGTGCCATCAGTGCCGAACTTTACTGTCAGCAACTGGAGCAGGTCTACGAAAAGTTGAAGCAAAAGTACTCTGATCAACCAAAAGTGCACTTTGATGCAGCAGGACAATGCCAAGCCACACACCGCCAAGAAGACCAAAGACAAGTTTGAAGAGCTGGATGGCGTTGAGGTTCTGCCACATCCAGCCTACAGTCCTGACTGTGCTCCATCAGATTACGGCCTTTTCCGCTCAATGCAACAATTTCTGAAGGGCCGCCAATTCGACTCATTTAATGAAGTCAAGGAAGCGTGTCAATAATTCTTTGATTCGAAGCCGGCTGAATGGTACTTTCACCAGATCCGAGAGCTTGCAGATCGATGGCAGAAAGTCTTGGAAAATGATGGTCTTCATTTTGAGGAATAATTGTTGTTTTTGTTATTACTTGGCGAGTAAAATTTCAATTTTTTGCAAGTGTTTACGAACTTTTGGGACAACCTAATAGTAGTAAATAATCAAAGCCTTCAAAGACATTTCCCCAACTCTGATTTTCGCAGAAATAAATATATACATTGAGGAGCAAAATAAATCAATTGTAAATAAATGAATTACTGATTTTAACCAGTCCCTGGGGAAAATGAAATAACCCATAAAACAAAATGTGATTAAGAAAAACAAAAGAATATTTTATGGTGAAAGACGTATAAGAATTAAATGGTCAGTTTTTAATTGTTTAATTATTGACATTTGCAGCATCTTTAATTGTTTAATTATTGACATTTGCAGCATCTTTAATTGTTTAATTATTGACATTTGCAGCATCTTTAATTGTTTAATTATTGACATTTTACAGCATCTTTTGTTTAATTGTTTAATCTTTAATTGTTTAATTATTGACATTTTTTAAGCATCTTTAATTGTTTAATTATTGACATTTGCAGCATCTTTAATTGTTTAATTATTGACATTTGCAGCATCTTTAATTGTTTAATTATTGACATTTGCAGCATCTTTAATTGTTTAATTATTGACATTTGCAGCATCTTTAATTGTTTAATTATTGACATTTGCAGCATCTTTAATTGTTTAATTATTGACATTTTGCAGCATCTTTAATTGTTTAATTATTGACATTTGCAGCATCTTTAATTGTTTAATTATTGACATTTGCAGCATCTTTAATTGTTTAATTATTGACATTTGCAGCATCTTTAATTGTTTAATTATTGACATTTTGCAGCATCTTTAATTGTTTAATTATTGACATTTGCAGCATCTTTAATTGTTTAATTATTGACATTTGCAGCATCTTTAATTGTTTTAATTATTGACATTTGCAGCATCTTTAATTGTTTAATTATTGACATTTGCAGCATCTTTAATTGTTTAATTATTGACATTTGCAGCATCTTTAATTGTTTAATTATTGACATTTGCAGCATCTTTAATTGTTTAATTATTGACATTTTACAGCATCTTTAATTGTTTAATTATTGACATTTGCAGCATCTTTAATTGTTTAATTATTGACATTTGCAGCATCTTTAATTGTTTTTAATTATTGACATTTGCAGCATCTTTAATTGTTTAATTATTGACATTTGCAGCATCTTTAATTGTTTAATTATTGACATTTGCAGCATCTTTAATTGTTTAATTATTGACATTTGCAGCATCTTTAATTGTTTAATTATTGACATTTGCAGCATCTTTAATTGTTTTAATTAATTATTGACATTTGCAGCATCTTTAATTGTTTAATTATTGACATTTGCAGCATCTTTAATTGTTTAATTATTGACATTTGCAGCATCTTTTAATTGTTTAATTATTGACATTTGCAGCATCTTTAATTGTTTAATTATTGACATTTGCAGCATCTTTAATTGTTTAATTATTGACATTTTGCAGCATCTTTAATTGTTTAATTATTGACATTTGCAGCATCTTTAATTGTTTAATTATTGACATTTGCAGCATCTTTACAATGCAAATTTGCAGCATCTTTAATTGTTTAATTCTTGACATTTGCGTTATCTTCAGTGAATCAAAGTTCTAATTAGTTTTAATTTTTTTATGGATTATCAATCTCAATTGTTTATTTAATGCTGACAAAATTTTTAATTATTGACATTTGGCAATTTTTTTTTTCAAATGTATTTGCAGCAATTTTTTTTAATCAAAAACCTATTGCGGCATCTTTATTGTTATATAAAATCTTTAATTTTTATACTTTCAGCATCTTTTTGACCTCAGTTTTGGGGGTTAACTAATTTTGACCATTGCTGCCATCCCCAGGTCAGATTATTGACCTTTGAACAATTGTCAATTAAGACATTTGCAGCATCTTTAATCAAAACCTCCAATCTTTAATTGAACAGAGACCTTTGCTGCTGAATTGTTTTTATTGACATTTGCAGGACTTTAAAGTTCTGATGCCTTTCTTTAATGTTCAGTATATGGGGTTCTAATTATTTGGTCATTTTTGGAATATCTAATTATTAGGATGAGGAATTATTATTTACATTCAAACTACTGCATCCATATACATTGTTAAATATTTTAAAAATCTATTTTTATACTTTTTTTGGAAATTTGGGGTCACTTTACCAAAGAATAAATTTGGTATTAGGTTTTTGAAATCTGTCACTTTTTCCAAATAATGAATTTGTTATTAGGCTTTTGGAAATGTGTCACTTTTTACAAATAATGAATTTGTTATGATGCCTTTCTTTAATCTGTCATACCTTTTACCAAATAATGAATTTGTTTATACGGATTTTGGAAATCTTTATCACTTTTGCAAATAATGAATTTGTTATTAGGCTTTTGGAAATCTGTCACTTTACCAAATAATGAATTTGTTATTAGGCTTTTGGAAACCTGTCACTTTTGCAAATAATGAATTTGTTATTACGCTTTTGGAAATCGGTCACTTTACCAAATAATGAATTTGTTATTAGGCTTTTGGAAATCTGTCACTTTTTACCAAATAATGAATTTGTTATTAGGCTTTTGGAAATCTGTCACTTTTTACCAAATAATGAATTTGTTATTAGGCTTTTGGAAATCTGTCACTTTTTACCAAATAATGAATTTGTTGCTTTTTAAAGTCATAATCCTCCATTGGGTTTAACTTGGAATGCATTATAAACAACACTGTAATGTAGAAGAGATGATAAATTAATTCCAGAAACAGTTTCCTACCATTCAACCTTGGTTCTGCTTTGGTTGCTTGACTCATAATTCATCATGGTTAAAGACATAATTACTTTCTGAACACAGTAATATAATTCCCAAATACTTGGCTTTTTACTCTTATTTATGATTAAAAGTGTTATCATTTTAAAAGCAAAGAAAAAGAATTGCTTCTCGAAAAATATTCAGAGTATTTTTGGCAGAGTATATTATTTCTATCTACCTGTAGTCAAGTGAGCTTAGAAATAACACTGATTACATATGTATGTGTATTTACTTGAAATAACTGTAATAATTTTGTTTTATCGCTTGGAATGAATCTGCTTTTTACTATAATAGTAATTATTTAAAGTCAGACTAATGTCCTCATTACTGTTATTATCACAACAGATGGTTATCTGGATTGATAAACACCTGATTAAGAGGACATATCTGCTGAAACAATAATAATGACTAAAAATGAGAACAATTATCTGAGTGTAAATAATGCAAATAAAAATAAATGCTTTGATAATATTGTGTGAGAGAATCTACATTATATAGTGGATGGTTTCAAGTTTTATTACAAATAGAAAAACCGTGTTACTTACCTCCAAATAATGCATAGGTAATAAAAAGAAATTCTACAGAAGTAGTTAAAGAGCTGAATAAAAAAGATAAAAAAAGGAGCAATCCTCCAACAAAGCTCACTGTACGGCCAGAAAATCTTTTGATAAAGGCACCGGATATAGGACCTGCAAAAATATATATACAAAATTAATGGAATGTGCAAAAAACCCCCCAAAAAACAAATAGTTACATTTTGTAAAATACATTTAATATATATATATATATATATCTTCATACATATTTTGCATATGTTTAACACTTAACTTTACTAAACATGGATAACATGGATACAAAAACTATATGTACCCATTAATGTCTACAAAAGAAATTACAAATTCAAACAGTAAGATTGAAATATATCGATTTAATGTAATTTTTATTTTGATTGTGCATTATAAACAACTTGATGCTGCCTTTTCACAGATGCATATTGTAAATGGCTTGAGCCTGCCTTTCCTCCTTTGCTTATTGCAAATAACTTGATGTTGCCTTTTCTCAGCTGCATATTGTAAAATGCTTTTATCCTACCTGTTTTCTGTTGCTCATTACAAACAATTTTATGTCACTTTCTGCTAATCAGTGTATTGTAACAACATTCCCACTTTGGACTATCTACTGGTTGTCTCTGCTTGAAGGATTGCCTGATGATTGGAAGGACACTACAATGAACACTAGTCATTGCACATTTTGTTATTCTTAAGAAGTCTTCAACTGAAGATTTAGAACATGGACAATTCCACACTGGAGTGGTATTACATAGTTAAAGTAAGGATTGATTTTTAGGGTTAAAATAGGATACAAAATGATGGAATGAAAAGTATATTTTGAAAAAGATGGCAAATATACCCTTTATTCTTTTTCTTTTACATATGTTTTTCCATCTCAGTATTTGGTTAGCTTGGTCAATGTGGTCAGATTTCTAGCAATTCAATTACTTGTACCACAAGAAAAAAAGCAAGAGTGCTAGTCTGTGTCTTCAGTCTCATCTGGACATGCAACTGTGGAATAAATAATTATGGCTCTATAACCAACTGAAAACCCTTTCTCTCTTCAAGTCAAATTGCTAACAGAATGTGATATAAATGCATTCTGTTGGCAATTAGTGAAAATCAAATCATTAATTTCATTTTCACAAGGATTTCTTTGTGAACAAAGTACTCCACAAAAATACAAGGCCTCCGAGTGGCTTTTGGATTAGAATATTTCTTGGAGCAATTTCAGGTAGCTAAGAAGACAACTTTAACTAGAGAACCATTTCATATGGAATGAATCACCTGTCAAAACTTGCTTTCTTATTAAAATAATGTAAATTTATCACTTTTCTGCAAACAATTATTAACAAAAAAAAATAAATTCAAAGATACTAAACTTTATAGAGAAAGACAATAAACCCCCCCGGAACATTTATATCATAGTAAAATAAAGATAATAAAACAATAATAATATCTATTGATATATATAAAATTATATAATTTAATGTATGTCAAGGTAAACAGAAGTTTTGTCAGTAATAAAATAGTTATTAACACAATTGTTAATGCAATTATTGTTAACTGAGTTCTGAAAAGCAAACCTCTGTAAAACTGAGACAAACTTCAAAAAGTATTATGAATTTTTTATATTTTGAGACAATAACAATATATTTGGTTTTTTCGCCCCTATAAAAATTTATTTCATTACAAATCATAAAATATGGAATCAATTTTGGTAAATTATTTATATTTGAAAAGGTAACAATGTAGAATATTCAAATTTGAGAGAATGTGTTTCATTTATATCACTGGAATAAGTGGGGTAAAGAAACAAAACCAAAACAAAAACACAAGACCAAAAACAAAAAAAAAAAAAAAAAAAAAAAAAAAAAAAGAAAAAAAAAAAAAAAAAAAAAAACAAAAAAAAAAAAAAAAAAAAAAGAAAAAAAAAAAAAAAAAAAAAAAAAAAACAAAAATAACAAAATAACAAAAAAACAAAAAAAAAAAAAAAACAAAAAAAAAAGAAAAAACAAAAATAACAAAAAAAAAAATAACAAAAAAGAAAAAATAACAAAAAAAAAGAAAAAAATAACAATAAAAAAAAAAAAATAACAATAAAAAAAAAATAAAATAAAAAAAAAAATAATAAAAAAAAAAAAAACAAAAAAAAAACAAAAAAAGAAATAAAAAAAAAAATAATAAAAAAAAAAAAAAAAAATAAAAAAAATAACAATAAAAAAAATAACAATAAAAAATAAATAAAAATAAAAAAGAAATAACAATAAAAAAAGAAAGAAATAAAAAAAGAAATAACAATAAAAAAAGAAATAACAATAAAAAAAGAAAGAAATAACAAAAAAAAGAAAGAAATAACAAAAATAAGAAAAATCAAGTACAAACAAAAAACAAAAAATAGAGAGGCAAGAAAAAGAATGAACTTACCACACAAAAGCTCAAAAGCAGTAGTGAATGAAAGTAAAATTGCAGTGATTGTAGCAGAACTATCAAATTTATCTACAATTGCCAAATACAGAATACCATTTGCTCGTTCTTGACCTCCTGTAAAATAGAATCATAAAGAACATTGAACAGACTGACTGTTTCTGTATGTTTTCTTCAGTGTCTGAAACTTCCTTTATCATTATCTATTATCATTATAAACTCAAACAGATATAAAAAAAAAAATTAACAAGTGGATGCTGTCCTAATTTGAACCCCTAACTTAGAAGCAAGCAGATATTCTCTACTGAAACAACATTGGTTTATGACCACATGTTGAAACACAGATGCCCATATGATCATCTGAAGTTAAGCAATATTGATCCTGGTCAGTACCTTGATGAGTGATCACTTGGGAATACCAGGTGCTGTAAGCTTGGATGTGCAGGTGGTGTAATGGATAATAGCTTTGGAATTGTTAATTGGAGAAACAAGTTTCAATTCCAGTCAGCTTTGTTATATTCACTTATGTGCAAATACCCTTGAGAAAAGTATGACTCCACCTCTTCTCCTCCCACTAGCTATTGGTTAATTACTAAGGCTTGTATTACTAAATCGTTATTATCTACAAAAAATAATCAATCAATGAAACAACATTGTGAAATTGTAAAAGCTGGGAAGAGTACACAAATGACACTGGAGCATGTATGCACTCTTCTCCAGAAACAATCATGAACAGACACCATGATTCTGGGCAAAAGTGCATATCCATCCATATTCTTGATTAGATTTGCTAGTTAAAAGATTAAAATTATGTATAAATAGACATACACAACAATAAGAAGAACATAGCAAAACAATGCCAGAAAATAACAATGTAATGTATGGCAACTGTAGGACAAAGTAAAGCAGTAACCCCCCACCCCAAAAAAAACGTGTTCTTACACAAATGGGATACAGTCAAGTTGTTAGTTTTCTGACTTTAAGGCAAGGAAAAAATAAATAAATTAAGAATTGTTCTTTTTTATTGGCTAAGAAGAAATCCCAACATGCATTGGTAGAATTTGTCTATAAATTTGGGTAGTGGGGGATTTCTTAACATTCATTACCTAAGATTGTAGTTTGATTATTTAAACAATGTTATTTTATGTATGAATCTCATTGATACTGTTACTTTTTATGTGTTGTGCAGATGATGCTTAGAAAATTTATCATTTTTCTGGAGGGTTATACCACCTGAAAATGTTCACAGTTGGTTGGGCTTGGACAGACAAAAGCTGCTGATGATCATATCATAAAGGAAACTGGCATGCTGACACTGCAGAGAAATAGGCCATCTTTGTGCGATATGTCCTGGGAAGAAAACTTCAAATAGAACAACTGTCAATCCCTTGTGAAGCACAGAAACATAAGAAAAAGAAATGGTAGTAATTTTGACCATCCCTTCTAACCTGAGCAACTAAACAGATCTAGAGACAGGGCACATTACCAACTCACCAGTGCTGTCTCAAATACTCAAGAAGGATATTGAAGTAAACAATGGTTGTGATTGGTAGTGTTATAAAATTTGTATAATACTAATAGTTGCTGGTTAGTAAGACTGAAAGGAAAACACTGGAAACAAAAGGGTGAGTGAAGAAGGGTTTAATGACATGAGAACATGGTTTGCAGTAGTTCAGTGCAACAAATGTACAACTGAAAAGTATTACACCTTTGCAACCCACTTTTTGTCCCTGTTCTATATGAGCAGACATTCTACTCTTAGCAGATGTAGGCCATGTTTCAATAATGAGTGTAGAGAAGCTTAGTCAATTGTTCTCCACAACAAGTAGGTAGTTAAAAAAAGAAAAAAGCCTCAAATGACAACAGCCCAGTCTTTTGGCCACCCCCAGATCTGACAATGGTGGAGTGCCCACTAAATCATATACAGACTTAGAGTAAATCAGAAACACCTGAGCCAACCCAGGAAAAGAAAAAAATGGAAAAGCTCATATTATTGAAAAAGGAACTGGATAAGGATTCCAAAGGCAGTCAGTACAGGGAGCTTACCTCCTCCAGCAATAAGTCTTCTCCCCAAAAAATAGTAAGTGCAAACAATTGTGTTTCTCAACTGAGAAAGTACTGACCCATAACAGAATCAATCTCTCCTTTCCTATCCTCTACTTACCCCATTCCAGAATTCACCCACAATGTAAAAATATTTTGACCTCTCCTTCACCCTGTCTCCTTCACTTCTACCATTGCCTCCATTACTACAGACAAAAACTAAAAGACCTCATCAGTTGAAAGCTTAGAAGTGGAGCTCCTCCACAAAAAACACAGAGTTCAAAAAAGCTTTTTATTTTGGGGAAGACATTTGCTGTGTTGACCTGGATATTTTGGACAAAAACGTTGTGGAGTGATTTCACAGTGGAGGCTTGTATTTGTACTAAGTCGGTCCTAAAATAGGTTCAACGTACAAAACATTAGGAACTTGATATAATAGGTAATAACGCAGAGTAATCTAGTTGTGGTTGCTGATACTTTATTATTCAACTAACTGTTGTCCGACATTGACTGACTGACTGACTGACCCATACTACTCCTACTTATTATAGGCGGGAGAGTCTATTAACTATAGAATAGATGTGTTCCACTATAACAAAAAAGAATTTACAGCTCCAATGACTGAGGGACTTATGGGTGTCCTCTGCAATTTTCAGACAGCCAATCCAGAGTACAAGAGCATTAAGAATCCAAAGAATTTCCATCAGGTACAGAGAATACTTAGTTTTGTTTACATTAGTCTGGCCACATGGATAAAACAAAGAAGGAGGCAAATAAGGATATAAAGATGTCTCCTCTACTAACCATTTTTGATGATGAGAAATGGTCTAATACAATTTTTCACCCATCCCTTTATAGAACGGTTAGCCTGGTGCAAGTGAGTAATGATAACCTTGAGTGGCATCTCAAACTTACAGGTTAAAGGACTTATTCTTGTGAGAAAAACATGCCTGCCCAGCACAGTTAGATTAGAATAGTTGATTTTTGTATTACCATAGATAGCCGTGTATCATGCAACTTTTGAAGACCTAATTTTGCAGCTAATTTTAAGGGGGTTGCATCATACATGAGATATAAAATTAGTGTACATATCCATTTACCATAGTCAAATTATCTTAAAAATTATGTCTTCAAAAGTCGCATGATATGTGTGTATATACAGTAGTTCCTTGAACTTAGCTAGGAAGTAAATGCTCAATTTTTTTTGGTTTTTAACCCCTTTCTTCCATTTTTTACTCCCCCATTCCCTGTCACGGTGACAGAAGACATAGTTCTCTGGAGTTATGGGAACATTATCTTTTAGTTTTACTTTATTTTATTATTTCTTCTTCTTTTACATCCCTTCCCCAGTTAACTTAATTTTCTGCCAATTGTTAAGCCATAGGAAGGGTTCCATACTAACATTTTCTTTCTTTGCATATAATTTTCATTTAAAATCATGAAGTTGTCCCTTTATGGTGTAAATAAAATCTTGTTTTTTTCTGCTCCCCATTTATTTGTAAAAATTATTGTAAATATGGAGCAGTAGTTTAGAATATCATGGTAAACATGTGTTGTTTTTGTGAATGTAAGTGTTTGTATAAATGTAGTGGTGGTGCTAGAAACATTAGAGTGAAGACTAGCATCTTCCCTTCCTCACTTTTTGACCTTGTGCCATATTTTGTTTTTTTGTAAAAAAGCAATTTATAAATGAATATTCATTCCCCAAGACTGAAATCAACAGCACCTCCTGACATTGATAAAATAAATGTCAGGAGCTTCTGGCTTAAGATTTTTGCCAAAAAGTTTGTTTCTTCAACCCTTTAGCATTGAACATGCTCAAACCGGCTCCGTAAATATTAGCCTCCAAAATCACACTACTTGTAGTTAAAGTTTCACTGCTTGTTTGACTTCCTGTATTTTTTGCAATGATGTCATCATATATTATAGCAGAGTAAACATGCGGTGGGTTATGGTAAGTTGAACATTGAGAGCCGATATTTATGGGATTGGGTTGAATACTAAAAGGTTAAAATATTATGACACAAATACAAAATGTTTTTTTTTAATCATTTCCCTACAAGCAAGGCAGTAATGCCTCTAGGACCCAGGGGTTTACAGAGAATGAAAATGAATAAGACTTTGGTTAGCAGAAGTGAAGAAAAAGGCAATAAAAGAACAGGACTCATGAAGACAGAAGATAGCAATTGGCACAGCATTTAAATTTTTGAAGATTGTAGGTGGAAGGAGAACAAGAATTTGGAAAGGAGTTCCACAGTTGAGAAGTGCCAGAAAAGAAACTATTAGAATAGAAGTGATGGTTCTACCTACAGCTTGTCCAAAGTTATTATGCAAATCAAATAAACCTCAATAACTCCAAAAGTTCTGAACCAATATTTGTCAAATTTAAACTCATCCATTTCTACCTTTAGTAAAATATTTAACTATATTTTCTGGAATTTTCAATGGTTAATTTTTTTAAATATTTGGATTTTACAAAAATGAACTTACTGAAGTTAATATGCAGATTAAACTAATATCAGCTCCGAAATCTAATAAAAACTATTTTTTTTTCTTTTTGACCATAATATATGTTGAAACATGGGTAAACGGAAGGATCTAACAACTGCTGAAAAACAGAAAATAACAAAGTTATTCACTGAGGGAATGTTCACATTGGAGATACCAAAGGAGCTTTGCAGAAATCATTGAGCAATAAAGTAGGCTACTGAAAATATGTTAAGAATTTGGAGCAAAGGAATGAATGTAAATTAAAGCAAATTACAGAAAAAAAAACAAAAAAAAACACTTGACCACTGCTCAGATCTTTGAAAAGGCTAGAATTGAGGGAGTCAAGGATAAAAGGTGTAGAAAATTTGTGAATTGGGATCTATAAAAAAATCTCGTAGGCAACCTTCGCTCACTCAAGCAAATATTTCAAAGTATCAAAATTGGGCCAAGAAACACATGAAAATTGACTTTCCTAAAGTAATTTTCATGGATGAATCTCAAGTGACATTTGATGGAACTGATGGATGGGTCAAAAGATGGATTTTATCCAATTCAGATATGCCTGTGGCTAAAAGAAGGCAACAAGGAGGTGGTAGTGTTATGATATAGGCAAAAATTGTCAACCAGACGATTACTGGACACTTCAAAGTTGATGAAGGCATTAAACTGAACAATGCTAACTATTGCAATTTTATATACAAGACTTTCTTTGCATGATACAAATGCAAGTCTCACAGTTTCAAAGTGAAGTGCATATTTACACATGACAATGCTCCTTCTCATTTATCTAAACTTACCCGTGAATACTTTGAGCATTTACAGGAGAGAAGACAATAGAATTGCCACCATCAAATCCTGATCTGAATCCAATCAAAAATCTATGGTCAATTGTGAAGATGAAATTATATGAAGGCAACAAACAATATAACAGCAAAGTAGACACATGGGAAGCAATTAAAACTAACATGTCGGAAATTGAATCTGCTAAAGTTAAAAATTAACAAAATCAATGGCTAATAGATTACTGGTTGCTATTGAGAAGAAGGGTCCCTATATTAAAATGTAAAGGATTTAAAGACTTATCAAATGTTTGTTATTTGTTCTTTTATAGGTGTTGATCAGTTTTTGATATTTTATTATCTTTTTATTAAAATAAAATGTGATTATTTGGTTTTTCCCAATAACTTCAAACAGCAGTTTATTTTTAATACATCAAATAACTTCAATAAAATATATTGATACTACCTAAAATTGTAATTCCAACTTTGTTTTGATATCTAAATTGTTTGTTTAAAATTTGACAATTTTCTCAACCCAAATTTGAATTATTGAAGTTTATGTGATTTGCTTAATAACTTCAGACAGAGTGTAGCTAGTTCAATAGTAAAATGGTAAGACCTAGTTACCAATCTAGTAGTATGCTTAAATTCATGCAGTCAAGTTTTGTTTTTTAAGAAAAAAAAAAAAAAGAAAAAAAATATTCCCCAGATCAGAACAAACAGTGAAGCAGAAATAAATTTTTGCCCCTAAGATCCAAGTCAGCCTTAGCAAAAAAAATTAATCTGAAATTTATTCCATTATACAAATGTGTACTTTGGTGAATGTGATTTGTGCTGTTAAGTAGTTTTCATGTGGAACAGGTTTATATTTTGTTTAAAATAATGTAAAAAATTCATCACATTTTTGCATTTAAAAAAAAAAAAAAAAAAAAAAAAAATAAAAAGTAAAACATCCAAAATATTTTAAAGGTGTGCCTAGGTTTTATTGAATTTGACATGGCCTGTCTATTCAATTTTCTTTTACAGTTTTAACATGCTCACAAATTTTACATAAACACATATAATAGATATGAAAGGAGAAAACTTTACTTACCAATAATGATATGTGTTAACATACTGCCAAAAACCACAAACCAACCCCAGCCACCATCTGGGGTTATAAAGGAGGGAGTCAAATTAAGATGTTTTTCATTTTTTGTTGATTCTTTCACTTCAACATCATCTTCTGATGCATTCATGGTTGTCAGCAAAGCTACAAAGCAAAGAAACAATTGCTGTTAGAAATTCTAGACAAAAAAAAAAAAAAAAAAAAAATAAAACAAATTGATACTTTCAAAAACTGAAGGTCATGCTTAGCAGCAATTGTAGATCAATAATTTAGGGAAATCTATAACATAGAAGAAAAAAAAAAACTTTTTGTGTGACATTTCATCATTTAGAACATCATCAGACAAAAAAAAAAAAAAATAATGGATGTTTACACATTGATATATAAAAGTTTATATATCATTTTCACTTACTGGAAAGTATCAAATATTAAAAAACAAAAAAATATTTTAATATCGGCTAATTCATTTAAAAACTGGAAAAATTTCCTACTGAAATGTATCAAAGAAAAAAAATCATCCCATGGAATAAAAAGTAAACAATTTAATCTGATGAAGTCTGAAACATGTCACACAAAAACTTTTTCTACTTTGCCATAAATTTCCCTATATTTTTTTTTATTATATAAACATTTCTATCATTTCCCCAGATCAATGTTTTCATTGTATCAATAATCATTCTTATTCTTGTATTCTGGTATCACAGAAATATTATAGAGAAAAGTAACTGGATAAATTGAAACACTTTTTAGAAAAATAAGACAGAAAAGCATACTACAAATATATATATATAAAAAAAATATTAAATTACTGTAGCATTATTACATAAAGGTTTAAACTATTTCAGTTTTTAGGACTTTACTTAAATAGATCTTTAGTTGGTATTTTTTATATACTACTTCATAGTATATGTGCAGATATGCAAATTAATTTCAGAGAGTATCTGTAAAGGAGCAAAATTAATAAAAAGGAAAAACTATTCTTAGCTGATGCATATCGCCCTCTGAAGGAGTTTATCAAGGAAAATATATATATATATATATGAGAGAGAGAGAAATGGTATCAGCTATTTACCTAAAGTATGAATTTTTGAGTAAAACATTTTGGAAAGGACCACTTTTTAGAAAAATTGAAAGAGACAAGCTAAAATGCCTTTAAGACGGGAACCCATTGTTAAACCAAATTTTTCTTCATAAAACATGATCTTGAAGGTGAAAAAAAAACAAACAACAAAAAAAACTAATTAGTAATTAATTGGCACATTCTTATAATGTTGTTGTGGTCAAAAGGAGTTAGCAACTCCGTTTTGGGACATAATTTCAGATTGGGTGTTTCTTCCCTCTACACTGGTTTCTTGGTATTTGTCACTGTTCTCTTCTCTGTATCTGCTTTACCATTCGTTCCTCCTATCACAACTGTACGTATAGTACAATATACCCTGACAGAAGACTTCTCTCATCTCCCCCGATGGTCTACTTATAATGGGGAATCCCCATTCATTCGCCCCGGATGATAGACATACTAGACACATGGGCATCTCAGATTGGAGCACTAACACACCCGAATGTCCCTCCTCCATTCTGTCCAACCATGCTAAGATTATACACAGTTGCTAATAAATCAATTTCTTGTGGGACAACAGAGAAGAAGGGTCTCTTGATGGAATGACGTACTCGCCTTCTCTCAAATCAAAGTCCTACATGCCAAAGACGAACTCCCTTTTGTCGAGAAAAAGGAAAGTCTTGTTCACCATTTCTTCCATTTGGCTCTGGTTTACAATGTCTGCCACACTTGTGTGTGGGGAGATAATTTTATTTTTATTTTGTTAAATGTGTTTTTTTTAATTTAGGCATTTGTTTACAGGAATATTTGTATATGGACATATAGAGCAGTGGCAATGGGTGAATTTGAAACTGGGACATGATGACTAAATGGCTACAAGAGAAAGCTGAGAAAATAATTAAATCAACAAATAGTGACATATTTAAAACTATTTTTCATTTGTAAATTCAATTTAATTCTTTGCTTCTTTTTGCCAAATTCAGCAATCACGTTGTTGTACAAAGTAGCTTTGTTTTCAAAAGGTCTTTATTTTTTTATGGAAGTAGAAACTAAATTATCTTTACTTTGAGAATATCTCATATAATTATTCATTTGTTTCAATGAAGAAAATGACATCTTAAAAGGTAGATTTGTCGGATGTTATAATTTGGTAAATTCTTCCAGAACTTGGTTCAGTTAAAGTTGCTGTATTATGTTTGACTTAGATGCTTGGCACTAGCATAAAACTATTCCAACTCTCATTTTAATCTGTATATGGAAGCAGGGATGTTCTGATTACTCTATTAATGCTCCTTGTTCACAATTTATCCTAAGAAATAAAAGAATGGGAGATTTAAAAAAAAAAAAAAAAAAAAATTGATCATGAGTGCAAGTAAGATAATAAAAATTATCAATTTTTCATAACAGAAAAAAATGATTTATCTTGGAGAAAAAAAACAAAAAAAAAAAACTAAAGCATGCATTGCATACATGTATCTTCCTATATATATATATATATATATATATATATAAATAAGCTTAAGTAAAAAGAGTGATATGGTACTGTGATTTACTTTCCTTGTTGGCTGCCAGGTTATGTAATTTAATAATTGTGTATTTGGGTAACAGTCACTTTATAAATACAGTTACTAAATTATATGACATGACTGCCAACAAGGAAAGTAAATCACAGAACCTTGTCGGTCATCTTTAATGAAACTTGTATAAAAGAGGGATTGCTGCCCACGTACACAATATATATGAACTTTACATAACTTCTATATCATAAATGCAAATTTCACTGTGTCACACTTTTTCAACTTTACTCCTAGAGGCCACAGCCCAACATATATCATTTTGGAATCAGGCCGACTGTGAGCAAATTAAAAACATTCTGGACAGGATCCAGACGCACAAGCAAGAAATTTTGGATTCCCAATTTTTTATTATTGTGATTGTTTTCTGTGATTTTTTTTGCCACAAATTTTTTGGCATTATAACAATTTTTATAACTTGGAAATAATCAAAATTAATTGCGAAAGTCATCCATGAAATAAAAATAATTGTTTGTACGGAAAGTCAGGACCTATGTACATTAAATTGTCTTTAAATTAAGTGGTGTTAGAAGAATTATCATTTAACTTTTAAAAGGTAAGGTTAAATATTAATGCAATACTTAAATGCAGTGATATATTTTGAGTTTTTCTGTAGTTTATTGTTGCCTATCACATTTACTCCTCCCTACTGATTGTGATGAAGGCCTAATCAAGAGCCCTCCTCAGGAAGTAGCTTAAATGCCACATGATAATGTGGCTTTTAAGCTAGTTAATATATATTACCATGTACATAACAATTTATCAAATGTACTACTTATATGCAGAAATAAATTCAACCACAAATCTAAAAAATTGATCTTAAAAAAGAAAAAACATGCCACTTATGAAATGCAAGAATAATTTACTCAGAAGGAAAATTCTCAACTTTCCTGAAAGAATTACTACTTTCTCAAGCCAACCGCAAATATGTGAAAAATCCAAAAGAGAAAAGTTAAACCCATTACCTCATGTTTTTGAAGTATAGCACATTTGTCCATCCCAAACCATAACAATCTGATCACAATTCAAATTATTCATTTATTAAATTTTTTTAAAAATTTAATTAATATTACTTGCTGACTTGCCTTACCAGACTAAATTATGGCACTTTGTATCCTCCACATCTTTTAACTGACCTTTCAATGACCTGATGAATATTCATGAAAGGTCTCAAATTTAAAAGCCTTGTTAAACCAATGACATTCTTGCTTTTGTATATAAACACATGCAACAAAATAAATTCTACATTTATCTTGATAAAGTCCCTCAGGTGCAGGATTTGAATTCAGAGTTTTCCTATTCCTAGACCAGTTGCAATCCAAGGCTATAGAACCCAGTCTGTCCAGCTATTTACCCATAGCTGGGAGGAAGAGAAGAAGAGGATTCATACCTTTCCCAAGGGTATTAACATGTAAGTGAATGTAATGGATCTGACTGGAATTCAAATTTGGCTCTGATTCCTAAATCCGAGCTGCTATCCATTACTCCACCATGCCTTCTCTCTCTCATATATATATATATATATATATATATATATATACACACACATCAGTTAAACTTTAGTTGGCATTATTACATACTATGTCATAATGTGTGTGTGTGTGTGTATAGGGATATGTGGGGAAGATACAGTTAATCCTAGACTTGAACAAGATTGTAGTGATTGGGGAAGCATCCTCTTGGGAGTTTGTTCCACAAAATAAGAGTTTGTGGGAAGAAGCTGCTTAAGCAGTACTTACATCTCAGCAATGAAGTAGAAAGGGTCTAACGGTAGTTTGCTACAATGTGCGTGGGATGGTGGGTCTTTTTTTTTTGGAATGATAAAACTGATGTAGTTCATCGATATACTTTCCATGGAAATAGCAATAGAAAAGTGAGAGGCTTTCAAAATTCCATGGGAAAGGGGTTGTAGGGTGGAAAACAATTCATCACCCACAAGAAGTAGTAGTAAGAAATATTACTTCAGAAGAAAATAGCATTCTGAACTAACTGTAGTTTTAGATCAAATACTAAAAAGAATATGCAACTACCTAAAACCACAAACAGGTTAAAGAGACAGTATATAGTGAAAGGTTAAATAAAATATAGTAAGAAATGAACCAGAGGAAAAATGTGTGGTACCAATTTCCTTAAATGAAGGGGGGCCTTGAAAGTCATTATTTGAAATCTAAGATTTCAAAATACAAGCTGGAATATGTCACTATCTAAACCATGTAAGACAAAATGGCTCTTAATCTTGGGCACTATGTGAGGATCTAACTCCCTACATACTGATAATAGTCTGCTAAACAAATTTGCTAACCATTTAATAGGAATAGATAGGTTTGTGTGTCTTCTGGTTCACATTCATCCCCAGTCTTTTGAACAGGTGTCAAGATTTATCTGTTGTTGCTGGTTTTCTCTAAAGTCTTCTTCAACTCTATACTTCGGACGTCTCCACCTAAACTCTAAAACTTTTTTTTCCTCAACAGTAGTAGTAGTAGATAGGTTCATTTATCTATTGTCCAGTTTAGACACCTTGTTCTTTTGAATAGTAGAGGTTCATCCCTTATTTCTTGTTTAGGATTGGAGTGTCTTTTCCTTCTAAAATTTTTATTCTTTCCCTCCCAGTAACCCCCCTTTGCGTCTTTGTGGCATTATCGCCTTGTTTGGAGTGAACTGATAAAAAAAAAAAAAAAAAAAGGCGAGAGAAACAAAATAAAAGCCAATTAAAGGGGAGATAATTCTGAATATTTGTATATTAAAAATAAATTTAAACACCACGTTCATTTTTAATTTTTTATACTCACATAACAGAACTCATACATTTGTAAGCAAGTTTACAAATTAAGAGAAAAAATAAGGCAAGATTTTGTCAAGTAGTATTGAGAAAGATGAATTGAGAAAATAATTACCTCGATTTCTATAAATTCACAAAATTAAAATATCAGTTTATTTTAATTTTATTTCAGATCTTTTCGTTGATCCAAATTAAATTTCATTGACAAAATGAAAATGGCAACAAACCACTCTCGACCAATTAATTATTAAATTGCTTGCATATGCCAAGTTTATTTCAGAGCAAAAGAGAAAGGGGTCCCAATTTGACTGAGTCGAGAGAGCAATTGTGGTTCACTCAACTGGTTTTCCGATGTTGAAATTCAAATTAAACGTTTGATTTTTTTTCTTCTTCTTCCATAATTGAATAACTGAACACTCATGAAAATGTTAGCAAGGCATGTTCAATAATTTCATTTCATTCATACTTTTATTGGCAATACGACGCTGGAAGAGAAAAGAAGACAGTCTCTTTCCTTTCTTTAACTACTTCTTGGCTAACATAATTTAGGGCAATTTTTTTTAACAATAACACGACAAATCAAACCTTTTTTGTCACAAATATGCACAGCTACTGCTAACATAATATTTGATTTTGCCTTAAAAAAAAAAAAAAAAAAAAAAAAAATTCACGTAGACTGGTGCTTGAAAAAAATCCCCAAAAACAACCCTTTATTAAGTTTACCATTATTAATATTACAGGATATATTTTATTTATTTTGTATAATGATTTTTAAATTAATCGTTATTATATTTTTAAAGCAGCGGCAACTGAATAACCAAATTACATTGAATATTGCTAGCTCTTTTTTTTAATGAACCATTTTTCTGGCCCCAAATGAAAAACAAATAATGTGTAAATACTAAATAGGGTTTAAAAAAAATAATTTAGAGGCTTGTAATTAGAAAGAAAGGTGTTCAACAGTTTAACAAAAATTTGCAAAAATTCCACCTGCCAAACAAAATACAACACTACAAACCAGTAAATTTTAAAACCAAATAAGGTACATATGCAGGTTGTAAAATAAATGTTACAAAACAAAATAAAAATTAGGTTTATAAAAATAAATCCTAAATATACTTTATTTTTTGTGTGCAGTTACTTTTTTTTCACGGGATGAACAGAAAACTGATTCTGGGCAGAAATGATGTTCGATAAAGAAAACGTATCATTTTTTATGGGAGTGCAATGATAACAAAACTGTGTATTTTAAAACCTGCAGATATCGACTTGTTTTCCCAAGTTTCTAAGATGTGTTTGAATCGACTGAAATATCCCCCTACGTGGTATTCATCATAATTCATCGCTGTTTAAAAAATGAATGTTTACCTACTTACAACTTATTGAAAGGACGACTGGAAACAACGATTTTATTTCTGTGTGCTTGTGAGAAACAAAAATACGGTTTCATAAACTCATGAAATAATAATTCATCAGTTACCATGCCAAGAACAGATAATAAAACATTGAAAATAAATACACGTTACATACTGACTTGACGAGAGAATGTACAAAGTTTCAATGATTCCTCTAACTAACAACAAAAACACTAACACTGTTGTAGGTAAATCATTTTTTTAATTATTATTACTTCAACACGTGCTTCAATGATCGTTAAACTAATTACTAAATAATTTATTAAATATGAATTTTATATTTCTAAACATAATCAAAATTTTTAATTAATGTTTTTACTAAAATCTGTAGTGCGGACTCTCCGGGGTTTTTTCAAGTCGTCGGTGTAAATAAAACAATGTCGCCTTGTGATATTTGTACCGTTTCTTATGAAATTTAACTTAAGGTAAACCGTAAATCAATATGCCGTTTGAAAAATTAACAAACAGTGTTTGATAAATAAAATTAAAAAGGACTAACTTTTCGAAAGTAAATAAAAGCAAAAGTTATGAACTAATAGTTTTTTTTTTTTAAATAAGCATCCAGAACATTTTTTTAGTTAATAAAACTAAAAAGTAACCGGTTGAAATCCGAATAAAAAGAATTGTCAATGTTATCGGTCTTGTCCTGACATCTTGGTTTCAGTCACTTTCACGGTAATTGTCTTGATATGCTTTCCTCGTTGATACTCCAACCACACGAATTTAAGCGCAGTACTAGATTGGCAGTTAGGTCTCAATTTCAATGTTGACATTGATAGTTGTAATCGTAAGTTCTATGCTAATAGTTTCTTCTCTTGCACTTCTCTTCCGGCTTTTCTGTCAACTACGATCATCAAAAATTCCAATACAATCGTTATCTTCCGTCTCCGTGAGGATGTTCTTTTATTGTTCTATCCGTTGTGTGGCTTTTATTGCATTTGTATGAAATTCTGTCGTTCAGGTTTTTTTATATCAATAATCCGATCATCTGAATTCCAAACAATAATAAAATAAAGAAAAATAGGCATGCCTGTTAAATAAATTATTTGTATTTACAAACATATGTTCATGAATTCAAAAGAGTCAAAAAGGAGTAAAAATAGTCTTTAACTGAAAGCCTTTGGGTAGTTCGTACACAGAACATCTATATACTTTAGAAAAGGCTTTTAGTATTTGAGTCACATAAAAAAGCTGCAGTTGAAGAAAGACTGTGTTGTTGGAGAGAATTCGTTTGAAGTCTCCGACACATGATCGTCAGCGAAGATTTACTGACCGTCTCTGCTGTTGTTGTTGGAGATGATCCGTTTAAAGTAGCCGATACATGTTTCTTTCACTGTGGGGGAGCTATGTAGCCACGTCTTCTCTTGTGATTGAACGGTTTGGAGGCAGTCGCTTTACTCTTTCTGAAAGTCGAAATCCGTGGTTTTTTATAAGAGTTTTCCCGAAAGTAGGTTTGAGAAAAATAGGGTTTTAGTTTTCTCTGATTGGTCAAATATTTAATGTGATGTTAATTCTACGCTAATAGACACTTTGATTTGAACGGAGTATATTTTATTATGTAACCTTTTTGGCATGTTTGTAAATCGTGTCTGTTATTTGGTAGAAGATAAAGATTGAATGTTTTTTCAATATGATATGTATGAGGGTATATAAATCTGTTGGAAATAGGATTTATTTACTATATACTTACTTGGAATGAATTGATAAAAATATAAAAAAATAAATAAAAATATATAAAATTTAAAATAATTGTGCCTAAAGTTTAATACTAGTCGTAAATATTTAGATAAAGAAATCCTGGCAATCTTTGATCTTCGTGCGCGCGCAAAACAAAATAAAACAAAAACCATAAAACAAAAACCAAGAAGCAAAACCCAATTAAAAAAAAAAAAAGCAACAAAACCCAATAAAAAAAGCAACAAAACCCAAAAACCAATAAAAAAAGCAACAAAACCCCAAAAACCAATAAAACCCCAACAAAACGGCAACGTTTATCGTTTTGAAAAGCGACAATTAGAATCGGAATAAAACCTTTCAACGTTTCATGGATATCTTCATGGATATATTTATATAGAGAAAGATATAGTCTGGCATTTTAGTATCCTCAGAAACACAGACCCCAAAATTATGAACATCTGCATTTGGATAAATGTGAATTCTTTAAAAGGCAACATAAATTTCTTAGGATACAATATCAACTCTAAAGGTTTAATCCCAGCTAAACAAACAATTCAACAAATTCAAACCTTTCCAGAACCAAACGACAAAGTCCTTACGCAGATAACTTGATTTGGTTAATTTTTTGAGAAAAATAATTCCAAAAGCAGCTGAAATATTACTACCACTATCAGAACTAATCAGAACTAATCAGATACGACCAAACAGCAAAGTCACTACAGATGAATTCCACACAAAGAGAAACATCTGAGAGCATTAAGAACATTCTAGCAGAAATTACAGCATTAACACACCCAAACCCAAAACCACCCAATATCATCCTATAACTGATAGTTCTAGATATGTAACAGAAATAGAATTACATCAGATTGTAGATGACACCCTGATTTCCATAGACTTCCACTCAAGAAAAAAAAAATAAATAACGGACATACAAAAAATACTCAACGTCTGTTGGTGAACTATTAGCAGCTTACCAAGCCGTAATACACTTCAGACTACAAATAGAAGGCCGACAGGTTACATTCTTTACCGATCGCAAAACCTTATTAGCATCTAAAAAAAAAAAAAAAAAAAAAAAAAAAATACTACAACCCTCAAATCAGACGGACAACAATGACATCTTTCAATCATTGCTGAATATATAAAAAATGTTATATACATCAAAGGAGACGACAACATAGTTGCTGATTGTCTTTCACGACCAGCTTTATTAGTCACAATCGACCCACGCTATGAGATGAGAAAGATAAAGAGATTTTTAAATACAAGGATGTGGGGAAAATTGTGAAAATGGCCTACCTCGGAAACGCCCGCGAATCTGTGCGTCGTGCAAACTCCGATTGCTCAACGGTGAAAAAAAAAAAAAATGGCGGTGCCCATGTTTTATGCCAGGCGGTCTCGGACAATTAACGCGAAATCTCGTTGTCTCGTCATTCGCATGCAAATTATGGTCGGTCCTCGGCTGTATAAAGTAGGCGCGTTTTTGTTTCTGGGGACCGAGTTGTTTGCTCGTGAGAAGGTTGGACGTGTGACACTATTTTGTCGGTTACCCTCCTCGCGTTTCCTATCTGCTATTATCAGTTGAGTCGTTGCTTTATCACCACAAAGGATAAACTCAAGTCATAACTATAACGATTCAACCCTCTTCTGTGACAACAACAACATCCACACCAAGATCATTCATTCCAGAGTCTCTTCGTAAGCATAATCTTCAATACATTTCTCAGAACATCTCACGTCCTGCTTCTAATGCAATAGCAAAGTTAATAAAGTCAAGATACAGACAAAAATATACGTCAAATGGTCAGAAGCTGTTAAGACTGATAATAAAACAAATTTTCTAGACACACTAAGACACAGTACATCCTTTTCGCTACCATATGGACGATTTGAAACTATCTATATCGACATCAGGCCAGTTGCCCCCAGCAACCGCACATGATGGTATCTACCCATCATCAACAAAATATATATAGAATAACAAGATGGATAGAACCTACCTCTCTTCAAGACACTTTGTCACCATAATTTATTACAACGTTTCGGCCGTTGTACGCCCTGGCCATCTTCAGGTGGTTGGAATGTCGAACTGAACCCTTTATTTCACTGGGGTAGACTGTTCTAGTTCCACGTGCCATGTCTAATGGATGTCAGTTAACCAGATATTGAACTCACACTTTTTGGGTCCTGTCACTGGATCTAACTAACGCCTTTATCCACTGTACCATGTGTCCTTGAGGACATCTGTGTATGAATTTCTGGGTATTATAAACCTAATGTCACCAGCAGCCATTTTACCAGTGCTCATATTGCAATATTTGCTGTTATCATTATATATTTTTACCAGAGCTCATTCCGATTTTTGTTGTTATCGCTTTTCTCTGGCACTCCTTATTACTGGTTCCTATATTGTATTCATTTCTATACTTGGTCGGCTCAGGAGATTTTTGTGGCCTAGCATATGTGCTGATTCCTTAAGTTCACGAATTTTCCAATGGTGTTCATTGTCTATGAACACACAGAGGGCGGTGATCTCCTTTTTCTCTCCATGTGGTCAACCACACCTGATTTTTCCACTTCCCCTCGTGTTACAATGTTCTTGAAGCCTTAAGGGGAGTGGCCTGTCTCCCCTTTATATTTCTTTCCGCTGGAGCGTACATACGTTGTAATAAATATGGCGACAAAGATGAGGACAATAGTCCGAATAATGTAAATAGTGCGCATTCATTTGGATAGCTCGCAGTGGAATACCGCTTCATGTCATCACAGGCAGAGGTAATCGGTTCAAAAGCGAATTATTCAAAGACTTACTCATCATTATAGGATTCCACAGATTCCTTACAACCTCATAGAATAATGAAGCGCCGGCATAGAAATCTAAAAACAGAACTGAAACCCAACTATTACTTCCAAAACTGTTGATAGAACAAACAGCTTTACGATTACCAAAGAAAACATCAAACAATTTTCTGAAGAGATGACCAAGCTTAACTTTTCATTCCTTTCTAAAGGACGGTTATGCTCAGCTAAGCAATTATTCATTTAAAAAAAAACAAAAAAAAAAAAAAACCTATACACTTCTAGTTAAAAACGTTTGAACAAAAGGTGCCGCGAGCAACGTCCAGACTCACACCAATGGGGAGCAAAATATATTCCTAGATGGTAAGTGAGGACCTCACCTTAACTTAAATAGTAATCTTTTAGAGTGCAAACCTCACCTATTGTAAGTACAGTTGCGGGAGTATGCTGGTCAGGTGTTTAGGTGGAAAACATGTCTCCTGGAATGTTTATGCCACAACAGAAATAGCGAACTTGCATGTATGTCCG